GGTCCCTGTAGGAATGTCTTAGAGGCCTCTCTCATGTCTAAATGGCTATGATTTATTAGTAACTGCAGGAGCACAGGAATAATATTTTAAACAGTCTTCTGATTAAGAGAAACCTGAGTCCAAAATCCAAAGCTGTCCAGGAGTAGAACACACTGGCAAAACTGGTTAAAGTCAGGGAAATATTGAGTCTTCCTGAGAACAAGATATAAATATTTTTTAAAGTTTCAAAAATAGCACAGACTAAATGATGCCAAAACTAATAAAACTGAGTTTGAGGCATATTAAGAAACTCAAAATTTTAAATAAAATTAAAAAGCATATCATTTTAAGTAAGACATGATATTCTCTATATTCTTCCTGAATGAGAAAGCACAGCTATCAAATATTCCCTCCTAGATATTCTACTATTTATCTATGGGTTAGCAACTGTGCAGCAGAACACGGGAAAGCCTAGGACCTACTTGTGGGCCAATGGAGCCTCAGGCAGAGGCCCAACACATGAGGCAGAGAGTATAAACAGTGAATTCCTCAAGGAATCAAGGCTGGCCTGACTTTTCTTTGCAAGCAACCAGGATAAGAGAACACAAAATTATTCTTATAGGGCCAAGAGAACACAGAGCTAGCACAGAGAAAATAATTTGCCAGAAGGTGTTTTGGGTGTCAATATAAGGAGTTTTCTAAAGCCATCAATGGGTAGCAGTGGATGATGATGCCTTGAGGTGGTGGGTTCCCTTTGAGTCCTTTCACCGGAGATATTCAAGCACAGTGGTTCAGAATGTTCTGGAACCTTCACCACCAAGAGGAAACTTCAATTAGACGACAGGCCCTGCATCCACAGGCCTCCATCTGTCACCAGTGAAGAGCCCAGCTACCACATTACTCACACAATTGCAACATTCCCCCTTTACTTGCAGGCAGCAGTCTCAATTGCATGTTTTCACTTCATCTCTGATTTGAATAAAGGCTTTCATGAGATACACCAGTCTAAAAAAGAAGACAGAGAATCGGAGGAACCCTGCCTGACACTCTGCTGACCCAGGGTGGGCTGCTCGGCACAGTCGCAGCGGGATATGGAACAGCAGCAAGCCTGTCACTGTTGTGCTCCCCCTTTCTCGGCCCTGTGTAGCCAGCCTCTCATTATCCTTTCTACTCCAAATTCTGCTTCTCACCCCTTATCCTGCCCCTCAGCCTGAACCTCTGGCTGGCACTGAGGGAGCTTCTCCTGAGCTCATGGAGGCTACAAGGCTGAAGGAATCTGGCAGACCAGCATGTGGCCTGCACAGGAGCAAGGCCAGCCCTTAACTCCTGCTGCCAGGCCACAAGGAAAACCAAGACATGTTCTTGGCATCTGCTCTGGAACTCCAACACATTCCTCTTATTCTATGTTATATATATATTTTTCCAGTTCTGTAGTGTCCTTAGTTTTCTATTTCAGTTATATTATGTGTTAAAAGATATATTTTTTTCCTTGTGTAGACTGGGAATTTAAATCCTTATAGCTCAAAGTTTCTAGGAGAAAACATGTTGAAACAACCAACCAAATGAAAAATAAACAAACAACTTCATTAAAAATCCTTATTTCATAAGTCAGGCGCAATAGCACACCCTGTAATCCCAGTGACTTGGGAGGCTGAGGCAGTAGGATTGCAATTTCAAGGCCAGCCTTAAGTAAGACCCTGTCTCAAAATAAAAAATAAAAATGGCTGGGGATAGAGTTTAGTGGTTAAGTGTCCTGGGATTCAATACCCAATGCCCCAAAGAAACAAAACCAAAACTTTATTTCCTACAAACCAGAAAATGAGGTTAGGAATCAAGAAATTATGAACTTCAAAACAATTTCCCAGTTAGGTGCTTTTGTTTGACTTTAGGGGGAAATAAATCAGAAGAGTATCCAGGAAATCCTTAACTGTACCACCTGTGATATCAGTCGCTGGAGACGGGGCAGGAAAAGGCAAAGGTACATAGGTAAGATCAAAGCAAAGCAGACTTTGTTGGCAAACCAGAATTTTGAAAAATTTTAATGCAACATAATTTTAAAAATCATGCATGAGTGTTTGCTTCAGCAGCACATATACTAAAATTGGAACGATACAGAGATTAGCATGGCCCCTGTGCAAGGATGACACGCAAATTCATGAAGTGTTCCTTACTTTTTTGTAATAATAAAGGCGGTATAATTTAAAAAAAAAAATCATGCATGAGAAAATAATGCTTCACTCACAATCTGACCACCCTTACTCTTACCAGTTATTGTGCACTATTTCAAAACTAGGCATTGTATGCTCTTTTTTCATATGCATGTATGTTTTCACAAATGTCTTCAGCTTTGTTGATCTCAAACAGCAACTGACAATTATGAGAGCAGAGAGACACCTAACAAAGAATATCACTTTCCGAAAGCTAGAGACACACATTCCTATTCAAATGTTTGAGATCCCCACTCCAGAGCAAGTGTACATAGCTAACATTGTCTTTTACTAGTCTATTAGTTTAGGTGTTTTATTTTTAAATTTTCTATCAATGCACCTAACATTAAAGTATCAATCTTTTTTTTTTTTTTTGGTACCAGGGATTGAACACAGGAGCGCTTAACCATACCCCCAGCCCCTTTTATTTCTTATTTTGAGACAGGGTCTCACTATGTTGCTTAGGGCCTCACTAAATTGCTGAGACTGGCCTCTAATTTTCGATCCTCCTGCCTCAGCCTCCTGAGTCACTGGGATTATAGGCATGTGCAACTATGCCCAACTTCAAGGATTAACTTTAACAATCACATACTTTCCTCAGAGTAGTTGATTAGGAGTTGTGGTTGTGCTTTAATAAGGGAAATATGAGAGAGAATAGAGAGAGGAGAGAGAAGTGCTCCAGCCCACCCATTCAGCATCGTGACATAATTCCTAGGGCACAGTGTGTGTATAAGAAATGCCCAGTGAATAATTCTAGCAACCTCAAACTAAGCCAGAGACAGGATTTCACATGACATTGAAAGTTTCTCATCACCATGGTTAAGAAGAGCTTTGAACCTGGAAGATGGAGCTAAAACTTAAGAATACTAAAGAATGCACTGGAATCAAGGACAAGTTTTGATTCAGCTAATGACCTAGAGCTGAATTTCCAGGGAATTGAGTATTTTGGAGGTCCAGGTGAAGCCAGGAACTAAACACTAAGGATCCAGGAACTTCAAAAAAACCTGAAGTCTAAAAAACATAATGGGTCAAAATTAGGCAGAGAGCTGAGAAACAGAGTCAGGAAAAAGTGATTCTGAAAATGAAGACCAGATGACCTTCCCTAGACCTTTGTCAGGATTTACCAGCAGGTAGGACCCACAGCATCAATCGCAACACTAAACTATAGAAAGTTTTTTGACTTTCTTAGCTTTGCTGTAATCTCTTTCCTAGTATATTCAAGTGTAGATTATCACCGAGATTGCATACACACTTGGTCAGTGTGACACAGCTACCCAGTGGGCAAATGTTCACATCACCATTTAGATTTCTGGAGCATATAAAATAATTTTCAGATTAATAACTCATAGTAGGATTTTCTAACCCTCTTTTGGTGATTAAAAAAGACACACCATGTGCAAATGTGTAGTTTAATTAAGCCAGGGAAACCCAAGCCCATGCAGTGATATTAAAGCTGATTTCTGTGTTCTGGGAAATAGTAACAGCTGAGAGGACTCAGTGACTAGGGGAGGAGGTCTTCCTGAGGCAAGGCTAGCCCTGAATGAAGTCTCTCTTATTCATTCACTGTTGGCACTCAGGCGACTGAGGGCCAGAGGACTTTTAAATGACTTAGGCTGAGAAACATCCTGTGGAGCTTCTGCTAGGGAGGCCAGTAAATGCCCGCCTGCCAGGACTGGGTCTCATGAATGGGCTTCTCTGGGATACACTTATTTGGGATGATTTCATAATGTTTTTAATTTTATAGAAATTTCTAAGAATGTGCCAGTTTCACTGAAGTAGTTAAGAAACTACATGTAAACATCCCTGTGGAAATATCAGCCGACACATGGCAATGAATCTACGCTCTGAGGGTTCTCATTAATATGTTCCAGTTTTGTGTGAGCTTTAAAAAAAAAAATCATAACTAAAACCAATGCAGCACCCACCAAAAACAAAACTCAGTGGAAAAATGAATAAAGAGTCTGGACATCACTTGGATTGGATCAGGTGTTAGACAATGGAACAGATTAGAAGTAAGAAGATACCAATGACATTGTGGAAAAAGTGACCAAAGATGAGCGGAAGGTTGGAGAGAGTGAAGAGAAAATGGTTGAGGAAAATTTCCAGATGTTGTCTAAGGGACGCTGATGATGTTTCTCTGACAGGGTCATAGATATGTTTTTAAAAATATTCATTCATTTTCTAATTATATAAGCATTACTTATTGCTCATTATAAAAATTAAAGTGAAAGGGGGAAAAGACAAAAGTTGTTTGTGATTCTACTACCAAAGCTTATTTTTAACCAGGTATATGCATGTAGGTTGTTTTTCTTTTCTCCTGCCTTTGCATTTGTAAGTATAGGAGGTATGGAGTTTTTATAATTGCTTTTATAACCTCATTTTAAAATGTCTTTATAAAACATCTTGTAGGTTCCAAAATATTTCATGGAATAAATAAACCCTACCCTATTTAATTTTACTGTTATCACTACGTTAACCACTAGGATTGTCTTTTAATTTTTTATATTATAAATTATTCTGTGATGAACATCTTTTTGAACTTTTTAACTATTTCCTGAGATTAGATTCCAAAAAGCAGAATTTGTAAATAGCAAATAAAGATTTTTTTTTTAAAGCTCCCAAAGCTTATTGCTAAGTTGCTTTCCAAAAAGTTTTTATAAATTTACCCTCATACTACCTACCAAAGCAGAAGAATGCCATTTTATTGTATTTTTGCCAGGATGCAGAAATGCATAGATGCAGAAGTTATGTCTGTTTAAATTCTAACTTAATGCTCAATGTCTACTTAGTCCTAGATCAGTCTTGCACCTAAGAGAGCATGAAGGAATATGTGCTTCTATTGCTCTTGGCTGTGTGCTCTGCCAAACCCTTCTTTAGCCCTTCAAACATGACACTGAAGAATATGATGCTGAAGGATATGGAAGATGCAGATGACGATGACGACGATGATGACAACTCTCTTTTTCCAACAAAAGAGCCAACGCACCCCTTTTTCCCATTTGATTTGTTTCCAACATGTCCATTTGGATGCCAATGCTATTCACGAGTCGTGCACTGTTCTGATCTAGGTAAGCGCCACAGATCCACTGTTTTGAAGAATAACGCTATTTTGATAAAATTAAAAGGATAGGAACGGTCATTGCTGAAATCTGAAAAATCATCCCACTGACTACACATTTTTTTAAAAAATTTAAATGTTTAGGTGGAAGTGGGATATGGCAGCACATGCCTGTCATCTCAGCTGCTTGAGAGGCTGAGGCAGGAGGACTGCGAGTTCCAGGCCAGCCTGAGCAACACAGGGAGAGCCTCTCTTATAAGAAAAATAAGGAGCTTGGGGTTCAGTAGGGCATGTATGCTCAAGGGCCTAGGTTTGATCCCCAGCACCTCAAAACAAACAAACAAATAAATAAATGTTTAGGTAGAGAGTACAACAAATTGCAAAGTACATCCACAGTTATTTTAAAGATCCAAAATAATAGAGAGAAATAATAGGGATCTTACAATACAGAACATTTCTTTCTTTTCCCAAATTAAAGCACTATTTCAATTTTCTTCACTGTGGTTCATATCATTGTATCAGCAAGTTGAGAATGTCATTTCTAGAAAAATTCTATGATCACAAAGTAAGATGCTTGCCCAGAACAATGAAACAGGTTATACAGAATGTGAAATCTGTAATCTAGATGATATATATATATATATATATATATATATATATATTTTTTTTTTTTTTTTTGGTGCCAGGGATTGAACCTGGGGCACTCAACCACGGAAGCCACATCCCTAGTCCTTTTTATTTTATATTTTGAGACAGGGTCTTGCTAATTTGCTTAGGGCCTCACTAAGTTGCTGAGGCTGGCATTGAACTTGTCATCTTCCTGCCTTAGCCTCCCAAGTCGTTGGGATTATAGACATGGGCCACCATGCTGGTTTATAATCTAGATGTTTTAAAGATAATATTCTATTCATTTTGAATGCTGTGGGTCTAGAACTGCCTAGAAAAGAAGTGATTGAACTAAATTCTCTCTGAAATTTTCTAATTCTCTATTGAGTATCTTTTTTTAACACTTCTAATGAAGAAGCACTCAAGAGCATACTCATCTTGCTCAGAGAGAGGATGTGATCAGAAAGGACATAAAGAGTTGTACTCAGCTACTTCCTAAAGAGGGGATACAGAGACCCGCCCCACTGTGGAGGCCAAGGTTTGGCCACAGCTCCCACAGAAGCCGATGGTCCACTAGGGCCTCTTCCGGAGTCCTCTTTGCAGATGATACACACAGCTCACCTCCCTCATAACATGACTGTGAAAGGGTCTTGATAAATTGTCACTTTTCCTCCCTCAGGAAATAAACACTTTCCAGAACTTCAATTCCATCACGGCCATGATGGGAGCAGGTTTGGCAAAAATCTGTTATCAGGAGGATCCTTTCAGCAAAACCTCCCACTTCCCACAAGACTTCCTATCACTTTCTAAAACCAAAATGATCCCTTATAACAAACAAAACTGACTCTGCCTTGCTAATTCATCAAGTTATCCCCTTTCCTCTTTCTATCTATGGTGAAAGTTCTTAAGAGTTGCTAATTTTTTAAAATATCTTTATTTTTACTTGTTTATTTTTTTTATGTGGTGCTAAGCTCGAACCCAGGGCCTCCCGCATGTGAGGCAAGTGCTCTACCACTGAGTTACAAGCCCAGTCCAAGAGTTGCTAATTTTAAAGTATGGAGGGGGAAAACACATAGGCCTACAAAGCTGAAGGTAGCTATTCAAAATATTTGGATATTCAATTCAGATTGGGGCTGCCATCCATAATTGCTTTTTAGGATAAAGGCAGAGTTTTTTTGTTTCTTTGTTTTTGTTTTAAGTCAAAAGTGTAAATATTTACATCTCACTTTAAAATTTATAAAAAGATGAACTGAGGGACAATAAGTTTAGTATAATAAAATGCTGATGGTACAAAGTAGATAAATAAAGTGTGGATTTTCACTATAAAATTCTTACATCTATTAAAACCTTTCATAATCAAATATTGGGAAAAAACCCCAAGAAGGCCTTAGGCTCATCAATCATTTTGTTGCATGGAATGTCCAATAATAAGCAGGAGATAGGCACCTTCAGTCCAAAGACTAAAGGTTGGCCATCTACAGAAAGCAAAGAAACTAAGGAAGAACTGCATTACAAACAGCTTCTGAGTTTTTCTCATTTTTCTCAACCCAAGAAGAGGGAAAAAGTTTAAGTCTATTAATCATTTAATTAGTATTTGCCTATCTACACAAAGAGGAAGCATGCAACTGTACCTTATTCTAAGATGATAAAGACAGCTATCATTGCACCTGCAAAGAGGAACAACAACTAAAAGGTAGACCTGTGTACTTCTGGCACAAAAGTGAAAAACAGAAGTGAATCAAATACCTTTGCTCCTGAACTAATATTATGCATGATGATATAAGTAAAGGTAAATATCACACTTAGTTGCTAATGAAGAGTTATGTCGAAATAAATAAGAATTAGTTTAATAATTTATGACTAGAAGAGTCGATTACAGAAAATGGGTGGTGAAATTTATGATTATGTACATGACAATAATCTATTTTCTAAGCACAGCTTTCTATATTTTGAGCCTTCCTAAAAATGAAAAAGACCTACATGCTTCAATTTCTCACTATCCCAGCCAAAAATCTAGACGAAAGCTAGTCTTCTTCATAAGCTACGCCTCAGCTGCCTGCCAGTCCATCTTACACCCAATTATTTCACATTGAAGCCTGCAAAGACCCAAGATAAAAACCATGTACAGATAAATGAGCCATGTGAAATGGCTCTGAGTATTAAAACAAAAACAAAAAAAAACCTATGTTTTTGTCATATTACAACTACTGAGTCCTGGTACTTAATGATATCCATGCATTTTAAAAAATGTACATCTCTATCATATCAGCGATCGATCTAGTCTTCAGCATGACTAATAAATAATATAACCATATATTTCTACCATTTAGAGATCTTGTCTTTGGTACGATTTTCTAGTAGTTGTAACACGTTTGCTTATTTCTCAGGTTTAACCTCGGTCCCAAACAACATTCCATTTGATACTCGAATGGTCGACCTTCAAAACAATAAAATTAAGGAAATCAAAGAAAATGACTTCAAAGGACTCACTTCACTTTATGTAAGTATTTGCTAATATTTTCAAATATTTTAAGTGAAAATCTCTATCATTAACAAAATAATTATATTGTATAAGTGTAAACATGTTTTTTAGGTGAATATGACAAAATTTCTCTATTCAGAAAAGTTATAGTCAACAAGAAATTATAGATTTAAGTCAATTAATGATTTAATTCAACTGATGTTTACTGAATAATAGCCAGGTAAAAGGTAGTGAGCTGAGAGTTGATGGTCCTTAAATGTGTTTCTAATCCATTCAGGTAACAATAATGACTATATATTAAAATGAACAAGAACACAATTATTTACAACGACCACAGCCTAGAGCATAAGCAATCTTTACCCAAACCTGTTGACTCCAGACACCACAAATTTCTAATATCAGCACATAGGACATATCTAAGTGACTAACACTCAAACCTTGCATCGAGCATGAGCAGCAAGGTAACGCTCCTGTTGGCGCCTGGGTTGCCTCCTGCAGAAGGGTCACTCTGATGGGTACCCACTGCTTTCACTACTCCTTTCCCTTTTGAATTATGCAAATAGCTCAGATTTGGAAAGTCACCATTCCAAAATACAGCTTCAATGTATGTATTTTTAAAAAAGCAAGTGGAAAACTTTTGTTTTTTAGAACTGAGGCCTCACTTAAATATTAAGACAATCATCAGCAGCACAAAAGATTCCACCAAAGATCCACTCAGCCCACCCCACTAACTTCAGACCACAGAAACTTTTGAATAATAGAAAGACCATTTTTCTAGCATCAGAAGTTGGAAATAAAAATTGTATGTGTGTGTGTGCGCAAACTTATTTATATATTTATGTAAAAATAAAAGCAAGAATAGCTTATGGGGCTGGGGCTGTAGCTCAGTGGTAGAGCGCTTGCCTTGTATTTGTGAGGTACTGAATTCGATCCTCAGCACCTAAAAAAATAAATTAATAAAGATATTGTGTAAAAAAAAATAAAAAAGAACAGCTTATGACTGCTTCCACTACTTCAGCCCACATTCAGCTTAGATGACCACAAGAATACTAATGACATATTTAATACCTGAGCTATGTGAGCTTTCAATTTGTCATATCATTATTTTGTTGCATTTTTAGGAGTCTTCCAGGTATTTATTCCACATGTACTCCTGTTATTCATTGGGAAATGATAATCTAAAATGTGTCAGGAACATTCTTAGGTCTCTTTAGCATTTTCTTAATCAACTTCTATATGGCAATTTTGTTTAAGGGTGAACATTCTGGAGTCAAGTAGAGCTGAGCCCAAATCTGTGCTCTAACGGGGAAATGGCCTCACCTTCCTCAGCTGTAAGAGAATGTAATAATAGCATGAATTTCACAAAATGGTTATAAGGTTAAATCAGCAAATACATGTAAGGTGCTTAGCAATGGTAGGGTCCCCACCCCCATCTTTTAGCCAATGTTACTACCAGGCCAATATGAGTAGGCTGACCCAACATACTCATGTAAAGCTGTTTTGTTTTGTTTTATGAGACGGGGTCTTGCTCTGTTGCCCAAGCTGGCCTTAAACTCCTGGGCTCAAATGATCCTCTCACCTCATCTTCTCAAGTAGTTAGGACTACAGGCTACACCACTGCACCAGGATGTAAAGTACTTTTAAAAGTACATGTTTTATACTTGAATTATAGGTATATTGCACACTTAAGGAGAATAAAAATATTTTAGACAGTTTACAAATCTTTTACGTTTCAGTTGCTTGTTTAGCATTGTGACTCTCACACAAAGGGTGACATATGTAGAGAGTGAATGTAATCTATGACATTCAGGCCTCCCAGCTCACTTCTTGCTGCTATTAAAGACACATTCACCATGACTTCTTGTTGTTTTACTTCTGCACAATACACTTTTCTTCTGTCCTTATACATAATCACACTGCTTATTAATGATAACTTTAATGTTCCATGACAGCCAGTTCCTCGTGTGAAAACCAACACTGGCAGTACGCTGATCTAGAGTCACTCTGCCAGCCTATCATGCTGGGTTAGCATTTGACAATGCTGCATAAAAACTTCCATTTGAGCTTTATTACTCATCCTTCCTTTTATGCAGCTCCAGCAACTCCATGTCTTCACCATAGGAAACAAACAAACAAACAGACAAAAGCTCATGTACTGAGTCTGAATCTCACTGAGGCACACACCAGTTCGGGGCAGGGCAGCTCTGACCCTTGCAGGATGATCACAGACATGTTCTGCATTACTCAAAGGAGAGCAACTCTTTCTGTTAAACTTAAACCTTATGGGGTCAAGTGAGGTTCACAAACCATCTTTGTGATGCACCAACTTGCTAAACTCCCCACCTCAAAAAACTAAAGGAAAAGAACACTCTCCTAGCTGGCCTCACATACTCAGAAAGGTGCATATCTTGACAGTTGGCAATAAGATGCAATCTCCCCTCTTCTCCTAGGCTTAACCTTTCCAGGTGCAACCTTTAACAGTAGTGGTATGTCTAGAAGGTGAGAAAAGACATGCAAAGGGCTGAGTGAAATGGTAATCATGATGGTAAAGAGTGTTTACTGGGCAACCTAAGTGCATATATTTCTGCTATGAAAAACAACGATGTGAGTAGTACCAGTCAGGCCTGTTCAATCAGTCTGGAAACAAAAAGAAGACTGCTTTAGAATGGAATTGTGATCAAATCCCTGAAAGGAATTATCCTCAACTTATATCTTAAGAAAATCAAAGGGTCTACAATAAGAGGGACAAAAAGGTTCTGAAGATTCTAAGCAATCTGCCAGCATCCTTGGCACACACTGAAAACTATATCTTTACAGCTGGCAAAGAAAATGACTAAGCTATGTCATTTTGTAATAAAAATTGTTATCAAGGGGTGGGGCTATAGCTCAGTGGCAGAGCACTTGCTTTGCAAGTGTAAGGCACTGGGTTCAATCCTCAGCACCACATAAAGAATAAATAAAAAAAGATATTGTGTCCATCTACAACTATAAGAATACTAAGGAAAAAAAGAAAGAAAAGAAAATGGTTATCAGAAGACCAATATATCCCAGTTTGCCCAGGATGTTCCCAGGTTGGGTTCTGAAATTCCTACATCCCAATTTGATGGTTCTAGCAGACCAAGGTAGCTGGTCACAAAAAGGACTTGGCCACAAAGAGCACAGTCACCCTGGTATTAAGCTCTTTACTCTCTGGGGTTAGATTCACCTCAAGGATGCTGCCTTGTAGCCCTGAGAAATATCCACATAATTGAGACAGGGGTGCACCATTTCTCAGGATCCACTGCTACCTCAAGGCCTGAAAATATGCCAGAATGCTGAGGGAACTTTGTAGGAGGGGTTTTCCTTACAGGTCTTTGCTCTGGGAGAAATGGTAAACATTAGCACACATGAAAAAAGTGAGGCTTTCAAGGTCGATTAAATCATGCAAAAGTATTTTGTAGAGTAAACAGATATCATTTAAGATAAAAATAACATTGTTGGTCACTTCCACAAGGGTTGGGTAGAGGTTAAAGCCTCAACCATGACTGTATCACCTACTCAAAGATAAAAAAGATAAGTGTGTATCAAAAGGCATAATGTTAATCAATAAAGCTTTAATTGTTCCTACTCCGTAGTAAACAATGTTTTTAAAGCCTGGATTGGACCAGGAAAATTTTTACATAGTTTTCAAGTACATAAATGACCTAAATCATATTGATTTTAAAGATGAATCATTATTGAATATCAGTAAATCAAATCCACTTTCTAATACTATGTAACTTACTATGCTTATCTAGGCTCTGATTCTGAACAACAACAAGCTAACAAAGATTCACCCAAAAACCTTTCTAACCACAAAAAAGCTGCGAAGGCTGTATTTATCCCACAATCAACTAAGTGAAATACCACTTAATCTTCCCAAGTCACTAGCAGAGCTCAGAATTCATGATAATAAAGTTAAGAAAATACAAAAGGACACCTTCAAAGGAATGAGCGCTTTACACGTGTTGGGTAAGTTATTCCAATAAATGGGCCATCTTGAAATCATCATTAACATGCAAATACTGAAATTTATTATCATTATTTTAGGATTTCTAAGATAAACTGTTCATAAACCAATGAGAATATGAAATAAAGCTTAGGGTGGCATCTCAGGCCTTGCAGTCCTAGCAAACTCAAGAGTCTGGGAAAACAGCAAGACCCCAATTCTAAATAAATAAAGAAGAAACAAAAGTTTCTTGGGAGTTGATGTATCACTGGGTTTTCTAACAGTTTCTAATAATTAAAGAAAATATGGCTTTTGTAGTACATAATCTCTTTCTCAAGAATCTCCTTTGAAATTCCTAGTGTGGGCTCTGTTTTATGAACTGAACCCTAAGTAATAAAATCTACGCTATTCTTATTTAATATAAAGGTAATATTTTTAATTTATCACATAAACTACTAAAATATAATGTACAAAGCTAATTCATATATCATTTGAAATGTAAACCTTTTTGTTATCTGCTTAAGGAGTATTGATCTAAGCAATTTTTGTTATGTGTTTTAAACTCCAGTATATTTTACTTGTAACACCCATCAAATAACCATGCCATTCCTCTGCAATATCCATTCAAAATTCCTAACCAAGATTCTCATTCATTTATTCACTAATTTAACCAAGTACCTGCACTGACCAAACAGCCTCTTATTAGCAATTCCTTGAAGTTATCTTTCTGCTAATCACATAATTTCTAATTAACTTGTGATTAAAAATAGTTTGGAAGACAAAACAGAAAACACAAATGCTTCGAATTATATGAAGAATGATCTTTTTTTTTCTGAAGCAATATTATTACAACAAAACTTTTATCATGCTTACTATTGGAGGAGAATGATAATGTAATTTATTAATTTAAAGCAAAAAAGTGATCCTATTATATATTCCAGTTTACAAAGTACAAAGGAAACTTTCCTGAAACCAACAGAAATGAGAGTAAATCAACAGGAATGATGAAATCCACACTTCTTAAAATATTCTTGGAATGTGTCTCTCTGCATTGTGAATTTCCTTTGCATAACAAGCTATGTGTGCTAAATCATGTCATTTCCCCCACAGAAATGAGTGCAAACCCTCTTGATAATAATGGGATAGAGCCAGGGGCATTTGAAGGGGTGACAGTATTCCATATCAGAATTGCTGAAGCAAAACTAACCTCAGTTCCTAAAGGTATGTATTTGCTTTAAGACAATATTTTTAAAATTGTCCTCTTTTAATGACCATTAAATGTAGTATTGTAAACTGAACAGTATACATTGTCAAAACTATACTACAATTAGAAATCCTTGTATCAATGTATCTGGTCAGAGTAGTATGAATTTAACTTTGTTTCACATACACATAGGGAGCCTTATATAGTGATTATTTTTTTGACAATATTAAACTGCAATATTTTTCCCCAGTAAAAATAAATATTAAGAAGCAATGAACTTTTTATTTTCCTTCTTTTTTTTTTGACATTTACTCACCTATGTCTGACATCAGAGGCAGAAAATTCTGTAGAGAAAAAATACAGATAGTTGGCCAGACTGTACCCCCAGCTGAGCTGCCACACTTGAGGTAAAGCCCTTGAGGCCTTATGGAGGTGCCTGGCTCTGGTGAGAGTGGATGTACACTGGTTCTCCAACAGCTCCCTTCTAGGAGTGCTATGAAGAGGAATGCACTAACAGAGAATGGTTTCGGGAAAGTGTCTGGCCTAGAAGGCGTCCTCTCCTAGCAAAAAACTTACCTGAAGGAACACTGCACTCTTGATGCTGGCTTTAAGAGAATTAGAAGCTGGCATTTCAATGTCTCCTTAACTTTGTTAGATGACCAGTTTTCTACAATGTCATCTCCATGCTCCCTGATGACTAGCTGGACAGAATTACCTTTATGGGAACTCATACTCAAAATTTTGCTTTCCTTGACCCAGAAAAGGGCTCTGTGCTTTGACAATTATCTAGGTCAGAAATAACACCATGTGAGTAATAATATGTTTTTCACTCTCAAACACATCTTTCAGTATCCACTAGTAAAAGCAGCAACTTTATCGTAACCCCTCTCTACTACCAACCTGATCCAGAGATAAACAAAACAAATATAAACAGAGAACTTGAGATACAGTGAACGTATTATTAATAACAATTATTAGTAATTGTTATTATCAATCAACTAATCTTTCACCTAGGTTTCACTTAGGTGAAAGACAATTTTTCTATCAGAAAAAAAAAAAAAAACAGTTAAATCCAGACTATACCAATAAAAAACACTTTCATTGAGCCTTAAAGGAGGTAGCTGTTTTTTTACAAGAAATCTAAAATGTTAACCTTAAGCTTTTCAGTTTTAAAATACCTATGCAATAGGTAAAATATATAAAAATCCCTTTTTTATGATGGAAGCTGACAGGGAAAAAAGGAAAGTCAGGACAAGGAAGGGAGTGAAGGTAGAGGGAGGAGAGGAGGCAAGACTGAAGGGCAGGAGGAGGGAGCTGCTGCGTCAGGCTGTGGCACTTGGCAAGGTGCCCTGGTTGTTCTTTATGTTCACAGATCTGACACACGTAACCAGGCAGGGCCACTTGTACATTCACACTGGTGGGCTTTCTTATACTGCAAAACACCCCAGTTATAATTCTCAAATTTCAAACTGCATCTCAGGGTTAACTTCTCGTGAAATTCTCAACATTCTCTGAAAGCTTAAGGAATGTTAGAAAATTAAACTACAATCTCTCAACTTACATAACTACTCCTTCAAGGTCTGACATTCAGAAACCAGTTAAACTATATTCTGCTTTTGTAGTTTATTCACTAAAATGTGATGGCTGACTTTCTGCATATCACAATTCCATCCATACTATCCCTTGTGACAGGATGAAGTGATAGACCTCTCAGGAGTCCCTACTAGGAAGAGTTAATAGGAGAGTCTTCCTTCTTATTCACTTGGGAAATTCTGCATAATTGCATTGCTTGCAATGTGTGTAGGCGGTGTGGTGGCAGTGGCTGTAGCACCTGTGTGGGGAACAGGGTGGGAACAGACATTCCTGTAGAAGCCTATTCAGGCTTCCCATGTCCACATTCACTGAGCTTCTGCCAGATTCACACCTCTGCTCACACCTGTTTTAGAGGCCGTGTTCCACTTTTCTCTGTGGTCACTCACCTTCCTCAAATTCTTCAAACCCTCTTTCAAAGATTTTGCTTTTCTCAGACATCCTACAATCTACTCTAGAAGAGTTGGCACATTACACCATCCATTTTTCAGTGAGGACACAAGGTCTTTGAGCACAGAACATTTATCTTACATACTGGAAGGAACATACAGTCATCCCATAAAATATAATTAAACTTAGTTATTTAGAATTCAAGGAATTAGAAACAACCTAAGTTTAGAAGAATTATTTTCTTGCTCTCTACTAACTTTGAAAGTTCAAAATAAATCCTGAAATCAAAATTAATTAAGCCACGAAGACTACTGATATATATATAAAATCCCTTTTTTGGTAGTAGAGAGGGGTTATGATAAAGTTGCTGCTTTTACTAATAGATACTGAAAGACAGCTGTTTCAGAGTGAAAAACATATTATTATGTTTTATATAATGTTATATATATTTTGTTATATATATATGTATTTAGTTATGTGTGTGTGTGTGTGTGTGTGTGTGTGTATGGACATTTCAATGACTTTCATCAGTCTTCATCGTTAATGTAGGAAGAAAATGTTTCAGCAAAAGTTGAAGGAAAAAAAAAAGCTGTTCCCATCTACCTACCTAGAACCTTTGGTTGACAAATAATTTATTATATAGAAAACAAAACAAGGCCTGACTGAATTTCTGGCCAGTCTCTTTCATTCAAGCTTCATCCAGCCTTGTCAGGATATACCTGACGTGTTCAGGAGAAAGAACATTCACGGGGTGTCTGCCATGTGATGGCACAGCAGACACACTTCCTAATTTATAAAGAAAAAATAATAATGCAATGAATTGTCTCAGTGTAAATATTTGTATAATTATGTTAAAAAAAAAAAAAAAAAAAAAAAACCTGGGCTGGGGTTGTGGCTCAGTGGTAGAGCACTTGCCTAGCATGTACAAGATGCTTGATTGAATTCGCAGCACCACATGTAAATAAACAAATAAACAAAGGTCCATCGACAACTAAAAAAAAATATTTTAAAAAACTTAATTGGTCACTTTTTTGTACTACTTCATTACTTGAGAGAATTAATCCTTTCAGCTACTTTTTGTATTAAAACTGTAGGACAAGTAATTTAATAATTGATAAGGGAATTTATTTAGAGAGCAATCCCAACTTACAAATCCATGAAGAATGATAAAATCAAAAAGTCACAGTGGTGTATACCTGCAATCCAGCTACTTAGGAAGCTGAGGTGGGAGGATGCTGGGCTCTGGAGTTTGTGGCTAGCCTGACAGCAAAGAGAAACCCCAACCCAACCCCAAGCAAAGAAAGAAAACAGAAAGTCACCATTTTACAATTCCTCCTATGAATGAATAAATGCCAAAACCATCCGTTGAAAGGTGATCTTCCTGACTCTGCATCTCTGGATCTGAGGGCCAGGTCATAAGAAACAAGGGGTTAGGATTCTGATAAATAACATCTGGAAGCTGTAGACAATTTACAAAAAGAATGTCTCAAGTCAATATTTGAAATCAACAGAATAGGAAGAAAAAGGAAGGAGTATATTATAGGAGATCTTAAAAGACATAAATCAAACCAATTGTAAAATGATATATTTGAGACACCTGGGATGGAGGGTGACCATTAGATGATAGTAAAGAATTGTTAATTTTATTAGATGTGTTATCAATGAGGTTAAAAGAAAGACAAGCTTTTCAGTTAGACATTAAGTGAAGTGTTCATAGGTGAAATTACACTGTATGAGAATTGAGTTTAAATACTATACCAATCAAAGAAGTGACTAAACAAATAAAAAACAAATAGATAAATCAGTAAATAAATGGGGGTAAATATAACAAGATCAGAAAAAAATGGAAATAACTGTTGAAGCTGGACAACAGCAGGATAATTAATAATAATAGTTTCCATTTTTGTGTATAGATGAAATTTTCCATGATAAAAAAAAAATTAAAGTAAGTACTTAAACAATTGCCTGAATCCATAATCTGATACTTGACAAGTAAATAGTGGGGGTTGGTTTTACTTAATCTAACAAACATCTTTCTCTTCTTATTAGACCTACCATCTACTTTATTGGAACTCCATTTAGATTATAATAAAATTGCAACTGTGGAACTCGAGGATTTTAAACGATACAAAGAACTGCAAAGGTAAAAGTTTCCAAAATCTTAACATACAAATGGTAGACCCTATGACTAAGATAGTAATGAAGCTTCTTGGAGAACATGTACAGGGGGGCTAGGGATATAGCTCATTTTGGAAAGTGCTTGCTTTGCATGCACAATGCCCTGGGCTCGATCCCCAGCACGCACGCGCACACACACACACACACACACAAAAAAAAAGCCAACAGGTATGTAAAAATTTGGAATGTGATAGACATCATTATCCAGTATGAAGACAAAAATTGGTATCAACATACTTTATATACAACCAGAGATAAGAAAATTGTGCTGTATATGTGTATTAAGAATTGTAATGCATTCAGCTGTCATTTATTTATTTTAAATAAAAGAGAGAGTGAGAGAATGTGTACAGGGAAACTAGTTGAGATCATTGCTATTGCTACTGAAAAGTGTGAAGGGAATACTAGAAAGAAACATTGTTTTTACTGTCTATACTAACATCAGAGGCAAACCAGTGGAAAGAAGACAAAGGCACTCTGCGAATTTTCCATTTGCTAGATTTAGCACAGATAATTTTCTAAAAGTGGGAGGAAATAGTTGTTCCATACTGAAATAGGTTAGTAAATAAGGCCATAAAACACTTTTCTGTGATCATATAAAAAAAATAGGTCAGACTTATATTATAACTAGTTTTGTGTGTGGTATTTTCAGCGAACTCTATCAAACCTAGCCATCTGCATGAGTTAATGCATTTCATATCATTTTTAGGCTGGGCCTAGGAAATAACAGAATCACAGAAATTGAAAATGGAAGTTTTGCTAACATACCACGTGTGAGAGAAATACACTTGGAAAACAATAAACTAAAAAAGATCCCTTCAGGATTACAGGAGTTGAAATACCTCCAGGTAAAACATTCTACTTGTGTTTGGCAGACATGAGCTCTTTAATTTTTATAAAACACTCAAGGAAAAACCAAGCAAGTAGCACAGGTAACTCAGACACAAGTACTCTCCAGGTTGCATGAGGTGTTCTACCAGGTAGGACTACAAAGCTGTCACCTGAGAAGTTCAGGTCCTATAACCACCTTCAGTTTCTCCTACTGATACCGCTAAGGTCATTGTTGCAAAGCTTCGGATCCAGCTAACTTCAAGTTTCTGAAGTTTCTGAGGTAGGACAGCTAAGGACACCAAGAAGGATACTATATGCTTTTGTTCTTGAAATATTTCACAAGGCAGAGCAAGAGGATTAGGATCCAGGTATTTTCACCATCAATGTGGTGTTAGATTAGAAGTAGATATGCTTTTTTAAATATTCAAACCCAAATATATAATTGACTGAAAGTCACTCTTTGGAGTATCAAGAGTTCACTTTGGGGTGGAGATGAGCTCAGTGGTAGTGTGTTTGCCTAGAATAAAAGGTCCTGATTTGATTTTCAGTGCCACTAAAAAAAATTCACATTTTATCATTTGTTGCTTTTCATTATTAGAAATCATTCCTTTCTCATTGAGCAGCTCTTAATTTGCTGGCAATTGTCACAGAAAGTGAAGAAAATATTTTGCACATAATTCTAGGACTTTCACAATCTCAATGGCTTTTCTCTACGGCCTCAGATTAAGAATCCCTACTTAATATTATTTCACCTTAATCCATTTTTCTCATGTGCAAAGCCTTTCTCTTCTAAGAAGAAAAAGACACCCTGAGAACAACAATGAGAACAAAATGGGGCATTGAGCACTCAACTTCTTCTAGATTTTGTTCTGATCCCTCTTTAAACAAGTTTTGCTTCTGTATTCCTTGGAAACACATCCATCTAAGGATGTGCTGTATGCAGGTGTGGATCTTGGGGCAATACCTGCTCTGATGTTTCTGAAAGCTGCATCTGTACAACGGCTAGCAGTGACCACAATCTGGCTACCTCAAGCCAGTCCTCCTTGATCTCACATCTGCTATTCTGTGCCACTCAGATCCCAACTTCTTCTCTTTCTCATATCTACCTGCACTCCTACTAGATTTTTTTTTTTTTTTTTTGGTACTGGGGACTGAACCCAGGGGCACTTAACCACTGAACCACATCCTCACTCCTTTTTATATTTTATTTTTGAGACAGGGACTCACTAAGTTGCTTAGGTCCTTGCTAAATTGATGAGACTGGCTTTGAACTCATATCCTCCTGCTTCAGCCCCCAAGCTACTGGGATCAAAGGCTTGTGCCATCATGCCTGGCTTATTAGCATTTTTTAAATGAACAAAATTGTGGCACAAACAGAGAAGAATACATGTCACATGTATACAATTCAATGAACATCCACAAAGTAAACACATCCCACACACAGCCTGTTGTCACTCACAGTGAGGTCAGAGCTGTGATGAAGGATGTTGACCTCTGACACTGAGCAGCGGGGGACATGCAGAGGGACCACACAAAGCCTCTGTCACAAAATCTTAATATTAATATAGGACAGAGGAGAGTTAAACGCCAAAGAAATATTTTAGCAATGCCTGGAGTTTTCATAATCACAGATCCATCTTAAATAAAAGCAAAATTTAGAGGTAACAAGAGTCAAAGCCAATAACCCAGCTTTGCCAGCAAGAGGCTCCTACTTTTTAATATGCCAAAACGCTATCAGGCAAGCAGTTTGCTTTTACTTCCCAAATCTAAATAAAAGCCTGAAGAAGAAACAGAAAAGCAGTTAATGGGATGAAAGTTCATCGTTCTTTATGAGTAATAATTTTAAAAAACACATATGTGGCTTATAAAACTGTGATTTGTCCACTGCTGCAAAATAAAGATTCAACTACTGATATAGTATTACAAATATGTATTTAAGATGTTGACAGACACATCTTTCTATAAAACAAATTACAGCTTCTTTCCACAATAGAAAATGCCAGCCAGTGTTCCTTCATGTTCATGTTGTGAGTTGAATTCCTAGATCACTGAATTTCATTCCTTTGCTCATTTCTAATACTTTCAAAACAAATTAATGTAAATATGGCACTGAAAAAACTATTTACACAAATCAGGGGTGGGAGGAGCTAGGGGACCCAGCTGATCAGGCAGTATGCTCTGAGCCATGGCACCAATGGCACCAGTTTTATGCCATACAGGCCGTCTCCCAAATATGAACTTGGAGTTGTTAGAACAGTATTTAACATGCATAAATAAGTGTATCTCTTTTAAGTGAAAATACATTCAAGTCAATGAAAAATAAACTGCTGAATAATGTCATAAATGCTGACTATAAACAGAATACCTTCTTTGTACATTTACTGTGTATTTTAATCCATTCTTTTTTCCTACTACAACAGATAATCTTCCTTCATTCTAATTCAATTACAAAAGTGGGAGTGAATGACTTCTGTCCAACAATGCCAAAGATGAAGAAATCTTTATACAGTGCAATAAGTTTATTCCACAATCCAGTAAAGTACTGGGAAATACAACCTGCAACATTTCGTTGTGTTTTGGGCAGAATGAGTGTTCAGCTTGGAAACTTCAGAAAGTAATTACTAATGTATGCTGAATATTAAATTCAAAAATTCTTACATTTGGAATACTTGAACTCTATTAATAATGGTGGTATTATACACATACACAAAAATCTATCTCATATGGTAAATGACAAAAAATTTCAACAGAATTTTGCCAAACTATTGATACATAAGGATTAACAGAAATAAGCATGTATTGCAGTTTCATTTTGCATACAAATGATTTTACATAAATTTCTTGCTTGAACATTCCTTTCTCAGTAACAAAAAAATAGACATTCAATATTTAACCTTCAGTTATCAAGTGCATTTCAAAAACAACGGTACTGTAAATGGAATGCTTGACTTAGCAACATTTGTGCTTTTTCATTTGTTTTCAGAAACACAAAACTGACAGCTATATGAAGAGTACACTATACTATTCTTATTCTTTATTAACTTGGGTAGTACTGTAATATTTCTAGTCATGTTCAAGTATGGTTTGATATAACCACATTGAAATCCTCATGTGTTAGAGCATGTTTTTTATTTTTAAAACTAACTTCTTATAATAAAACTTCCAGTAAGTATTCATTACCAATCAACAGATGCTATTCGTAAAAGCTGGTTTTTTGACTGTAGCACATTGTTTTCTTTTTTTTTAATTATTACCTGACTATAAAATCTCTGTAAAAATGCATCGTGAGTGTTTATATAAAATCTGTAACTCACATTTTTTATTCAGTTATTATAAGCTTTTAATAACATGTCAATTGTTAGGTTACATAACATTGTCACCTCAACTGTAAGGAATATTTTTAGGATGTCCCTTGGAAAGACCTTGTTTGGAAGACTCTGAACACTGTCAATTCTACACTAATTTGACTCTTCAAATACATAGTAGACTGGACAACTCTGAGAAGCACACGTGGTCTAATGGAATAGGCAAAGAATCAAAAAAAAAACTGAAGACTCTGTACAAAAGTTAAGAATACTTTGATTTTTTTAAAAATTGGCATTCAGCATAAGTTAAGTGAAATTAGAAAGTAAGAAAAACATCATTAAAAATATTGGTTCAAAATAAAATATTTGTGCTCTGGTCTAATTCCTTTTCCACCTGGGAACACAGTTCTTTTCAGAAAAATCTAATTTATGGATAACATTTTTAGAGCAGCATTAATTTTCCCTCCTTCCCTCCCTCCCTCCCTCTCTCTCTCTCTGGGGAACTGAGCTACATCTTTAGTTCCTTTTATTTTTTATTTTGAGAGAGGTTCTCATTAAATTGAACTTATAATCCTCTTGCCTCAGCTTCCTGAGTCCCTGGGATTACAGGTGTGTGCCACCATGCCCAGCTAATGTTTATTCTCAGTAACAGTACTAAAAAAATCATATAAGTCTTGCACTATTAAAGATAATCGCACCTTTATGTTAAACTACCTCAAAAACTAGATTTAACTTATTATTTTTTGTAGGGGAGAAAATAACATACAAAAGGGGTAGAGGGCCGAAATCAAGGTTAAGAATGGGTATATAAAATCTCCTATCTTTTGTGGTGCTAGGGTTGGAACCCAGGGTTTAGTGCATGTTAGGCAAGCACTCTAGCTCTGAGCTACACACTGAGGTCTCATTCTTGACAGCAGTTCGTCAATTTTGGCACTATTGAGATTTTGGGCCAGATGGCTCTACACTGTAGAATGTTTCTGCAGTTCCCTGGTCTCTACCACCAGATGCTAGCAACACCTGCATCTTCTGCCCATCTCTGTTGTGATAATCAACAATTTCTCCAGATTTTGCCAAACGTTCCTGAGGAGGACAGGAGATGAAAAAAATCTCAATTGATTGAGAACAGTTACTTTAACAGGAAATTTACTTAATTTTTTTTTCAGGTTGTTCCAATGATCAATCTTGCCCCCCCACTTTCCCTCCCACCCCTCTGCCCTATCTAGAGTTCATCTATTCCTCCCGCTCCCTACCCCACTATGAATCAGCCTCCTTATATCAGAGAGAACATTAGGCATTTGGCTTTTGGGGATTGGCTAACTTCACTTAGCATTATCTTCTCTAACTCCATCCATTTACCTGCAAATGCCATGATTTTATTCTCTTTTATTGCTGAGTAATATTCCATTGTGTATATATGCCATATTTTTTTTATCCATTAATCTACTGAAGGGTATCTAGATTTTAAGACATAAATTTGCAAATCTGTAACAAAACTGCTACTTTGGTGAAAACTGTAGAGGGAAGATCACAGTGTGATTAAAAATAATAAAGATTGGGCTGGAGATGTAGCTTAGTAGGAGAGTGCTTGCCCAGCGTGTGTGAGGCCCTGGGTTCAATCACCAGCACTCCAATAAATAAATACATACATAAAGTAAAGTGAAATAATAAGAGTCAATTACCAGTACACAGAGAGGAACACAGGGCTCTAAGCTGGAAATCCAGTTCCATTTCCAGTCCAGGGCAAGTCATCATCTCTTGGACCCCTTGGATCCTGCTTTCTTATCTTTAGAGGATAGAGGCGACAACACAGATCTATGAAGTTGTTATGAGACTTGAGTGATAAAAATGAATGTGAAATGCTTTGCAAACCAAAAGTTCATAAAACATGAGCAACTATTATACCAGACAACTATGGACAGACAAAAAAAATTAAAGATCATTAAGTCCTTAAAAATAAAACACTGCAAGGATAATTATTCTAAAATTAAAATACAGTATAAAGTTTGAGTTTTTTCTACAACATAACAAAAATAAAATAAATCATGATGTCAGGGCCATGATAAGAACACATATAAAAATAAAATGTTCAATGAGATTGGAAAAATCCATTTCTTGAAATTATTAAAATACTAAGATTAATGCTGAAGCTAAAATAATCAAAACAAACAGCTTAGAGCAGTTAATATTTTTTCTAAAAAGAAAAGACAGAACAAAAATGTTTAAATAATGGAAATGATTCCAGAAATCCCCACAATTAACATCCCACAGTTAATGTTTGTGTTTTCCATCCACAGCTGTTATCCATTTTTTACTTTAAGTTTGCAAAAAACAAATCATTAATAAAAATCATAAACAACCAAAACTTCATTAAAAATTTCTGCTATAAACACATTTTATGGTAAATACAAAATATTATCCAGTTGAAATCCATTCAAGATTGAAAACAAATGAGTTATCACAACTTACTGTGTTTATTAAAGCCTTCAAGGCAACAAAGAATCTCAATGACCACAAATCTATATTTCCTCCCAACTATTGGTCATCATCTATTAGTCATCAATATTCATGAAACAAACATAATACCTTAAGAAAACCACTTACTGACAAAAGCTTAAAAAAAGAACAAACCCTTAATATTTGTTCCCCTTGAAGCTACTACACTATTTCTCTTTCATTCACAATTCCCTTTTGCTTATTAAAGAAGAAAGAAAGAAAGAAAAGACAGAGTCTTGCTATGCTGCCCAGACTGGAATTAAACTGTTGGGCTCAAGTGATCGTTTTACCTTGGATTCCTGAGTAGATGGGACTACAAGTACATGGCACTCTGCCTGGTGTTCCCATCACTTTTTCAAATCATATTTACTCAGTCTTCATTACCTTTCTATTCACATGGACCTTAACCTATTGCAACTGACCTAACCCATCTAAATTTATTTTCCTCAAATTGTGTCATATAAATAATATTAATCCGGGATAGCTGATGTTTAAAGAATACTTTGACATATCCTACTAAATGCTTTACTTATATTTATTAATTTAATCTTCACAATAACCCAATAAAGCAGGTACCTTTAGTTGTATCTGTTTTTTAGGTGTGGGAACTGAGGAACAAAGATTTAAATAATTTGGGCAGATATTGGATTGATACCCAGCAGCTTTGATGCATATAATACACACACACAAACACACACACACACTCTTTTCTCTCTGCCCTCTAACAATTTCATTTGCTTTTGTGTTTAGCCACTACCAAAATCCAAAATTCACATCTCACATGCTGACCTCTTTCATGAGGAACAAACCTTGAAAAGCAAACCCAAATATTCAGTGCCATAAAAATCAACCTCTTAAACAATTTCCTTCAAACTCTCATGATCCCTTTCAACTTTGTCTTTCCTCCCAGTTATTCAGGTTCTAAACTTCTAAGGAGTCACTTATTCCTAACACTCTTGCAATAGCCAAGTAGGCACCAAATCCTTTCCTGCCTTCCGATAAACATAGACTCCTTTTATCCTCAGTCACTATATCACAATCTCAATTCCAGCTGGAATATCAAAATAGTTCCCTGGCCTCATCTTGCTTATCCAATTCTAACAAACTGCCATCTGGATTAATTATGTCATTCCCTTCATCAAAATCTTACAATAGTTTTTTATTGGTGACTGAATTAAGAACACATCATTACTTTAAGACTACCTTTTAAGACTATCATCTACATTCAAATAATGACATTTGAGGTTTTTATTTCACAGTTCTGCTCAGATTACTTCCTATTTCTCAAATACACTCTACATTTTCTGGCTCCTGTGTCTTCATTCATACCATCCTCTGCATCTGTCAACATTTTAACTTCGAATGTCTGTGTCAAAACTATTCATCTCAGCTCATCTTCTTGATTCTCACATAAACTGATGTAGACTGTTGTCTCATCTCCCAGGTGTTCCCAGTATTTTGACTGTGCTTCTCCTTTGTTGTCATGATATAACTTATTATAGCCATTTGTATGCTGGTTCTCTCTTTCACATTTTCCCAAGGATTTTAGACATGCTGGTTGCAAGGACTGTCTTGGTCATCTGTCTCCCTTTCCCTAATACTTGTACATTGCCATGGCTCCACATTTCTGAATGAAATCATTGAAATGAAATGTGTTCTCATCCTAAAATCGAAGTGTGTTTTTATCCTTCGCATCTTCTCCCACTCTAGCAGCTCCCATCCCCCCACCCCCGCAGCCCTGTCACAGTCCACACTTCCTATTTGAAGATGTGCTGCTTTTACTCCACATGATGTGGATGTAGGGCAACCAGCCTTTTTTTTCTCCCAATGCACTTTTACACGATC